AGTCCACCAATCGATCAATGCAACCATGAGGAAGCTGGCATGCGTGTCTTAGTACATCTCCTCCACGCCCTCCAATCCTTCTGAATAATTTTCATCACATCAAGCGATCCTGCTGCACGTTGATTCACGAAGTGCCATCCTTTATGGAGCAATTTGCAACTATTGTCGCACCCCATTCCAAACATCGCCAATGTTGAAAGAAGTGGCAACAAACTTTGTAGGCTGTGGTCAAATGAATCAAACGAGGACAGTGATGTTCACCTCGTCCAATTGAGGTTGTCCTCACAGAAGGCTAGGGACGTGTAGAGAATTCCCTCTACAAGCTGATGCTTTGAAATGTCTTCTAAGCGAGTATCTGGGCAACAGCCCACATGTCCATGATGCCTGTCAACAACCCAACTTACCATAGGTGGAAGGATGAGGACGGCAAACTGCTTCCCATTTGGACCACGCTGCCCCTCGCCAAGAATCTGTTCCACCTGGATATGAAGTGCACTTGCCTAATTACCTGCTCTCGGTGCAAATGCGTGACAACAAAGTTGAAAAGCACACGCAAGTGCATATGCGAGAAGTAGCTGGACTAGAACAATTTCCAATACTAACATGTAACATGTTAATCTGTTAGCCATTTTCTTATTGAATGTATTGTTCAGGGAGTATTTCAAGCAGTTATGCAAGAATTTACTTGGAAGTAGGACTTGATATAAGAAAAGATATGCTCCAGTCATGTTTATTTTATTTTTATTCAATTATTCATGCATGCAAACATAGGTATAGAGACCAAAATCACCATTTTAGGTTCAACAGAACAAGGCGTAATGCGAAAAAAGGTGGAAATTGGCAGCCCTCTTGCATTTTGGCGGCCATTTTTCTTTTATCTGACTGCTTGACACTCAAACCAGAATTGTTCCATAGACCCTTACCTTCAAATTGGTACTGAAAACGAAACTTTTGCATCAATATGAAATGAAAAAGACATAAATACCTATGCATGCCCCCCCCCACCACGATTTCTACCACTGACCTCAATATATGATAAAACCTAACAGGATCACCACGATTACTCCATGATTAAAACCACGATTCCAATCGTAGCACGAATCGTGATAGTGGGAACCTAGCATTAATGAATTTGAGACCGCGGTGTACACGAAAGAAAGAAAACCATATCTTTTTGTTTAGCCATGAAAAAGAAAAGTGATCAGTGATCTGCGTGATTCGATTAATGGTGATTTTACGCAACATCAATAAATCTATAAAACGTCTTGATGGGTTGGTTTTCAGTTGATAAGTAAATTATATAGTGTATGCCATTTTCTTCCTACACCAGTTTACACGGGGAGAAGTACAATGTAGTATCTTAGATCAACAAGCTTGTAGTAGTTGTATAGGAAACTAACTATTTCCCACGGCAGTTTACACGGGAAGGAGTCCAATGCAGTATCTTAGATCAAATAATTATTGTGTATAGGAGGCCACCGATTTCCTTCATTAGGATCAGAAAGTTTGTAGTAGTTGTTGTATAGGAGACTACTCACTTCCTACAGCAGTTTACTATCTTAGATAACACAAAGCTTGTAGTAGTTGTTATATACGGGACTACCCACTTCTAGCACCATTTTACACGGGGAGATGTCCAATGGGGTATCTTAGATCAAAATGTTTTTAATAGTTGTTGCATAGGAGATCACCGACTTCATATAGGGAAAAGTTCAATGTAATATATTAGATCAAAATGCGTGTAGTAATTGTTATATAGCAGACCACCGAAGAATTAATTTAGTAAATCAGTTCCCCTATTTCTCATGTTCAGTTATATCTGTGACCAACCCATGGTTGTAACAGCATTGTGTAGATAAAGCTGGGATTGTTTTCTATCGATTTATCATATGATGATAGACTCTTTAAACTGTAGCAGTCTGCCCGGACAAGCAATCCAAACTTTATATGTAATATAAAATGTGGGTGTTTACTATATATATGAATATCGACATTTTATTTATAGATTTTATATTTACAAATATCCACTCAGACGCTATACTCGGTAGGTTTAGACATATCGATAAAAGACTGGGGACGTCTCTTGTTTTGTTTTTTTTGTAAATATTTGATATATTTCGTCATTTAAGCATAAAATATACGAATTTTGAATATCTAACGCTAATATGTCCCATTAATATTCATTATATAGGTTTCAAGAAATACAGTATATAAGTTTTTGATATTACGTGGCATCAGCAATGGAATTTGTGACAGATAAGGCAACAATAATATATTAATTATGAAATCAATGCTTCATAATTTCGGATATTGTATGTAAAGAAGTCGTTGTTTCGTATTAACGTAGAATAGTGGAACGTGTAGTTAACTTTCACGACTATCTCGCTCATTTTCTACCGTGGGTTTTCAGTACACGCGCCACAGAAGCACGAGATGAGATCAATACTCTGACATGTGAGATTTTCACTATGGCTGAATAAAAACAGTTCAAGCCTTTCACTAACTCCCGAGATGGGTAAAAGCTTAATTCATTTTTTCGTTTAATATGTCATCTTTTTAAATATCATCTCTGTCATTTGCTATAATTGTTAATGTGTAGTATATAATTAGCAGTCACGTGACTTATCATTCATTATGTAGAGATTTCGTGTTAGCTGTGACTTGTACATTCGAGTAAGCAGAGAGAGAAAGAGAGATAGCGATATTGGAAGAATTTGTGGTCGTGTTCTTATGACACTAAGCTGTATATCTTAAAAGTGTTCAATCGATTTACTGTTTGTTGGGGAGGAGCAAGTCTTTTCCTTTATATATCTCCTCGGTTTGACGTGTATTTTTTTTAGTATCTCAATTTAAAATGGTTATTTAGGGACATGTATGGACAACGCCGTGTGTAGGCTTTACTGTGTGTGCAGTGATTTTACCTGAAGAACGTGTGTTGGTTACCAGTTAAGACGACTACTAGTTGTTACCTATATCTGATAATATGTCGAGATTGTGCTGGTTGTATCTTCAAATGGTGTCTTTTTCGGATGGATTGTTGGTTTCTGATGCTTCTTTTATTGGTGTTTAGCGACGGACTGCGGCCAGGTGCTTTGCCGTCCTTTGCTAGCCTATCGTGTCGGCTAGCACAAATGGAATATGGAATTCTAGGAGGTAGATGCAAGAGTGTTCTCTCCGGTAAAATTTGATATCGGTATTTTTTGATTTCCGAATTCTGGATAATATAAATTTAAAAGAATTAGGCTTTTTTTGCCGTCCACCTTCTGTCTTCGATGCTTCAGGTGGGAACTTGCGCGGTTGCGAACGAGTAAGTGAAACCAACAGAAGATGTGATGTTTTTACAAATGTTCCATTCTCATGTGATTCAGTCTGTATTTTCCTCTTTCGTATTTTGATAGTATATATTTTATTCTTATTGTCAATCTCATTCCTGTTCATTTTGAAATCTTACATTTCGAGAAATATAGAAGATCTTTAGTAGTCTTTTTAAGTGTTATGCATATACAAATTTGAAACAAACCTAGGTATTGTTATGTACAAAAGTACACAAGAAATATTTCAGCCGATGTTCATTCAAGATTTTTAAAATATTTCGCTTAGGTCTTATTAAAATAAAATTGGGATATTATTGCTAATTTGACAGAGAATGTCAATAAAGCAGTACATCAATCGTATATTGGCATTTATAATGGCAATGCTGGCGATTTAAACCCCTCCCTGGTTTCGCTCAAAATTATGATAATAGCCAAGATGCTCTGCCTGGTGTTTATTTGATTGGTATTAATGATTTAACAGTGTAAGGATTGGTTATAAGCCTCGAAAAAAGTGCGAGAAAATAATTTTACATCAATTACCCAGTAGGCATTATAATATATCATCGATTTCCATCAAAATTATTGCTCAAATATTCTTATTTTGAACTTAAGGTTAATTATATGTTCGCCATTTTTCACTTTTAACAACAACAGTGTTGTGATTCGATATGAACTGTTAACGAAACTATTATAACCTTTTTCTCCTTAGTAAATCTAATTATTCCGCCATATTGTATTATGCGGCAGTGTTTATGTACATAAGAGACATAAAACATAAATTTATTGTTGATCTCATTGCGGAACATTTAGTGCTGGTAGCCATCGATTGACTACTCTACTCTAGGAATATTTCCAATTGCTCTTGAAACTGCCGCTAGTATAATTGTTAATCATGATATTTTATAATATGGTTTTAAGGACATGTTCTGTCTCGGGCTAGAAACCTAGCAGATGTCATATATGTATTTAACTGTGTAAATCTCTAATATAGCATTACTATTATAGTTGATGGGCCCTACTGTTGTATCTGCAGAGTGTGTTGATGTTCCCGTTCGTTCGTGTTGTTATTGTGTGAGGTTCCTCATCCTGGTGTCATAAACCTGCTTCTATCCTTTCTCTATCTTCATCAGACGTCTCTGTTGGTCGCTGTTGCTGCTTTGTTTTAGCTCCTTCTAATTTTTCCTATATATCTTTTGCTTCCTCTGAACTAAGAGGAATCTTTAATGATGACTCTTCCCATAGCTTAGCTAGGCTGTAAGTTCTCGTAACTAGAATTATAAGACTCCAAAAATACCCAAAACTCCTTTAGCTGTGACTCTTTGTCTATCGCTGTGTAAACTCTTCCTTTGGGTGTTTTGGGGTTTTCTCTAGCTAGACTTGGTAAACCACCTTGTGTGCTTTGTGTGGTATGTGCGATGTAGAATAACCCAGTCAGTGATCATATTTTCCAGCTGTTTATTGTAAAACTAGAATGCGAGTTACTTCTCCTGACTGTTGTGTAGAATGTGGGTATTGGCAGTAGCCTAGCTGTTTATGTGATTAAATATTTGATTGATTATATTTGTGAACATATATCTATATATGATGTCGTCTGATACTGTTTCACTGTTTACTAATAATAATACTTATCATATAATAATCATGTTTATATGTAGACTCTAAAACCGTGACAATGTTCATTCACAGTTCAGGCTCCAGTTCGGGTCGGGACGGCGACGGATTGGGTCGACACCTCAGCTCCAGAGCATCATCTCTACGACACCAGGGAGGCTATCGCAAGAAGGACTCATCTGCCTCATTCATCGACCCAACTTTAGCGACTGTCAGAGACTTGTACACTACCAGAAGATACCGCGAAATTGGCAAGGAGGTAAAAATAGCTCCGAATCCTGTCAACGTTGCCGAAACGGTGTCGGGCTTAGTGGCAACCCCCGCCATCAGTATGGGGGTTCCAGGGGAAGCTGCAGTGACCAGACACTTCGCTGCACTAGAGGAAGCTCCTCCCGACCCCCATCTCATCATCAGAAGTAAACAGAGCACGAAGCGTGTGATTTTAAATGTTGGGGGTGTGCGGCATGAAGTGTTATGGCGAACTCTAGATAGAATGCCGCACACCCGTCTAGGAAAACTACGGGACTGTATAACTCATGAATCAATTATGGAGCTATGTGATGATTATAATTTATCTGAAAATGAATACTTCTTTGATCGACATCCCCGATCATTTGCTTCAATATTAAATTTTTATCGTTCTGGAAAGTTACATCTTGTGGAAGAAATGTGTGTGCTATCTTTTAGTGAGGATTTAGAATACTGGGGTATAGACGAATTATATTTGGAATCGTGTTGTCAGCATAAATATCACCAGAAAAAAGAACATGTGTTTGAGGAAATTCGAAAGGAGGCTGAATCAATACGACAGAGAGATGAGGACGACTTTGGGACCGGAAGGTGCGCCAAGACAAGGCAAAGAGTGTGGGATTTATTGGAGAAGCCAACGACTTCAATGGCAGCTCGGGTAAGTTCACCCTTTTTTCTGATTTAAAACCTTTAAATTGTTTTAGTATTTGAAAGAAGGTGGTAAAGTTTGTAATGAGTCCATTAAATGATACAATGCAGTGTTTTAGCTGCTTGAACATTACAGCTCTTGCCTAATCACTAGGCTATGAATGAATCTATTTCCAGATTGGTTGCCAAAGCTTTTGTGGTTATTTCATTTTAGCAATGAGTGCCATGACTAGACCGGCGATTCTAGATTTGTTCTATTCGTCTTCAGTTCTTGTCAAGTCTTCCCTTGGAAGTGATGCCTTTTGTATATAGGCGTAACATCACCCTATTGAGAACCAGCGATGCTATGAACTGCTTGTACTGCACTCGGTAACAAACCATAACGAAATGAAATCGTTTCAATGAATATACAACCTTCTATCAAATACTAAGATTAGTGATTATTTAAATTAGGGACAAAGAATATCTTTTTTTCCATGCCAACCTTTAATTATTGTACCATTGGCTATGATCATGTAATGAAATCTTCCGGATTGTAGTAAAGTGATACTTCACTGATGAGCAAATTAATGATAACCCCTTTGACATTTAGATATCTTTCGTAAACTGGCAATGTATATGATTAATAGAAATATGATTATGGATTTAATTAGAATGTCTAATAAAACAACATGATGTCGTCCCGTTTAATAAATATTATTAAAACTTTATTGAAATCACACCCCGGCGCTAACATGAGAAACGACTGCATCAGGTTTAAACGATTTATCTCGGTTCGTTTTACGACATAACGATTTTAATTTTCAATATATAGAGTAAACATGCGTGTATAACTGATGCACTTAACAATGAAAACAATTTACTGTAGTGAGAAACCCACCATACCCCGTCGGTTCAATAAAATTGATACATTTATACGTCAACAATATATTTACAACTGGGGCGAAAACATTCAAGAAATATTGCGATGACGTAAAATATGAAGGCGTGTGTGTAAATATGAGCGAAGACTTATGTATGTCATAAGCTATGTAACATACATTATGAAAGGGGTACATGCGGTGTATCTATTCTAATATTGTGTGCAGACTTTGCACATCTAGCATACATGACCATTAGATGTGTGACATAATATACAAAACACACAAAACAGTCACTGTCTTCATTAGCCAAATCGGAGCAGAACAGTAGGACGTTAAACCCCATTTCATTTTACAAAACAGTCATGGTGTTGCCAAAATACATGGCATAGGAAAACGTGTGAACGCGTATATAAATCAATCCCCTGTACTCATTACACACACGTACATATTTATTAACAAAGCCCATGTAAACTTCATACCCGTACATATATAAACAAATCCCCTGTTAACATAACATACATGTAAACAAATCCCTTGTTAACATAACATACATGTAAACAAATCCCCTGTTAACATAACAAACACATAGGTATAAACAAATCCCGGGTAAACATAACATACAGATACGAAATATATAAACAGATCCCCCGTTAACATAAAATACACGTAAATATATAATCAAATCCGATGTAAACATAACATATAGGTACATAATATATAAACAGATCCCTGTAAACATAACATAGGTATACACACGGATATATAAATAATCTAAACAGAAGTAATCGAACACAGGACAGCACAGATGCAATACTAAAATTGGGTGCCATGGACCGTTTCTAAAGCAAAATAACTACAGAAATACTACAACGAATCTACATGTATGTCCAAAAAAACAGACATAATAACGATGAGAAAACTGTGATAAATTGTATCAACATAAATTTCATACAGTTTCTAAAACAATAAACAAAACATTAAAAACCGTGACAACCCATTATTGTAATTTTCAACATTAATCATATTGTGCTTGGAACATAGTGCAGATGATTTACTATTATATAATTATTTAGTAATCTACATTAATCTACATTAAAATAACGCCTAAATAGCATTGGCATCATGTCACGATTAGAGGGGTAATATAGGGTATGCCTGATCCCTTTTCATCAATTTGAAATAAAATATTGTTATATATATATATATATATATATATATATATATATATATATATATATATTATACTACATAACCGGAAAAGGCAAATAACTGGGGAGTGATATTAAGGTGTTCTAGGAAGTATAAGCATGACACCATTCGTACACAACACCCAAGCCTCATGAAATACTAATTATATTCTATACAGCTGTCTTATGAATTGGTGTTGGTGCTATAGCATAGTGGATTTCTAATACAAGTTAAAAAAAAGAAGGATAATTTTAATGACCTGATTTTTTAAAGAAAGTATAAGCATGACACGATTCGTGCTTATAAGATGTTAAATTGTTTCTATAAAATTTTCGTATGAAGTACAATGTAAAATAGATAAGAAAAATATCAATGACCTGATTAAAGAATATTGTGACGGAATTTTTGTCGGGTTGCACCCATTTAATATTGTTTAATACTACGTTGGCTAGACCACCGTGTTTCATCTCATCATACCACGTTTTATTATTTTATTATTTATATTAATAGATTTAATCTGTTGATTTTAACACCCTCGCTTAAACACATGTTTCCATAAACGATAATCAAATTGCTTGCAATCGAGCTGATATAATTATATGTTTATATTAACATCGAATGTCACATTGTCGTATGAATACAATCGACCTTTTCCCATGTATAAAAACGTATGAAAGAAAGACAATAATAATTTAGATTATAGTCTAACGCGCGAAAACAGGAATAATTTTTACATTTTGTGGATCGTAGGCTGTCATTGTTATTGTATATTTACAATCGATAATTCGTCGACTAAAACAAAATACATAAAATACTATGGCCATGTATTGATTAGTTTATAACCATATGGTTGGGTTTTGTTGCCGAGACAATACGTAGACGTGAGGTTTCTAATATTATATTTTAGTTTTGACTTCCAATATACATGCCCGTCTATCATATTATGCTTTAGCCTTTTACGCCACAACAAACTAATGTCCAAAAGAAAGTATACACTTGTAATGACAACAAGTGTACCCTATATTTCATTAGAGTAGACTCTCAAAATCAAGTGTACACAACTTCATATCATTCAAACATGAATGCACCGCCTGACTTCATAAATTGTAAAATGTCATCAAATGTCGAATTCGTAATGTGTATGCCCACCCTTCACATTAATACACCAGGGGCGGATCCAGGAATTTTTGCAGGAGGGGGTTTGCCAGGTTCCTGAGACAATGTATCCCCCCCCCCCCTCCCACACACCCATTGCCTCTATCGTCATTATGGCGTATATACACACACATTGAGCTTTCTAAACAGAGAAATTCAACATCTCGTTTGACGTCAATTTTTATTATGAATTAATACAATGACATTGTGATTCAATTTCATGGATGGAAAGCATCAATTGTGATATCACATAATGTCTGTATCATTATCTCGCGCTTTGAGTGTCCATCCTGTCCCACATTGTCCTGATGTGACGATCATCTCCGGGCGTGGTCACTCGTGGTCTACCTCTCCTCGGCCTGTCTGATGTATGGTGGGTAAGTCGTAGACGTTGCATCAATCTGCTGACTGTGACTTCTAGCAATGGCGGTGTTGGTTGCTGCTTCCCGGGCCATTCCAATAGCCCTCTCCCTGCTAATACCGCTTAAACGTGGCACAACATTGGTGTGCCTTTGATTGCTGTGTTCCTAACATGTCGCGTAGACTGTTTTATACCGACAGACTGAATGTCGTTTTTATACGCCCACATGGAAATGTGGTCGTATATTGCCGTCACCCCGTCCGTCCGTCCGTCGTCCACAATTTCTTGTGAACACTCTACAGACTACACTTATCATCTGGTTGTTTTGAAATTGATATATATTGTTTGCATTAGCGAGATAAAGAATCCTATTTAATTTCAATAACTTCCGGTAATTTCTTCTGGAGTTGTTTCTTGTTTCATTTTGTTGCACCTTGTGAACGTTCTAACGACAAAAGTTATCAACCGATCTGTATGAAATTTATATGCATCATTTAAATTAGTAAAACAAAGAATCTTATTGAATTTCACCAATTTCCGTTAATTATATCTAGAGTTATGGCCCTTGTTTCACTTTGTTGAATCTTGTGAACGCTCAATTGACAACAGTTATCATCCGATCTGTTTGAAATTTATATGCATCATTTAAATTAGTGAAACGAAGAAGCCTATTGAATGTCAGCAATTACTTCTAGAGTTATGGCCCTTGTTTTACTTTGTTGAACCTTGTGAACGTTAGAACGACGGAAGTTAACATCCGATCTGTATGAAATTTATATGCATTATTTGAATTAGTAAAACGAAAAAGCCTGTCGAGTTTCAACAATTTTTGTAGATTACTTCCAGTGTTATAGCCCTTGTTTTAGTTTTTAGAACCTTGTGAACCCTCAAACGACGAAAATTATAATGTCATCTGTATGAAAGTGTCTATTAAATGCCCCTAATTACCTACAAAAGATTTCCGGCGTGGTTCTCCCTTGTCAGTGATGCAGGACGTAGGGGCTGACAAGGAAAGCTGTCTAGTCGTTCGGATGGGACGAAAAACCGAGGTCCCGTGTACACATTGGTGTGCACGTAAAAGATCCCTTGCCAGTTGGAATTCGATATAAGAGTAGGCCGTAGTGCCGCTGCCCGGGCAAAATTTCCCTCATAGCACACTGTATGGCGTATGTCCGTCTTCATTAGCCCAGGTTAGGAGCAGAACAGTAGGACGTTAAACCCCATTTCATTTCATTTCATTTCCTACAAAAGAATAAATATGCGACAACCCTTGTCGACCGCCGGACGATTTAGCTGCTGTGGGCGTATGTTTTGTTGCCTGGCAACCTATCTTTGTAACATCCCAAGGAACTTTCTCGGCCAAAACAGGGATCGAATGTGAGATCTCCTGATTAATGGGCCAGTGCCTTTCTCAATGATCACCTGTGACCCCAGTTTGTGTGG